TGGACATGGACTGGAGATGATCTAATCAAATGCAATTCACCCCTCTAGCTAGGTAATCCCCATCCTACCTTCCCTTGCAGGACAATTGCCAGAGGATCTGGTTTGAAAAGAAGCCGGACCAGGCAAGATATTCTGGCCAGCTGGAGAACCTCAGTCTTATCATCCTGGGAAGTCTGGTTGGGATTGGGTGAACACCCATGTTGCACTTCCCTTCATGCTTTGATGTAAGGTTCCTATGTGACTCATTTTGATTATTCATCTGCACACATGTGCCCTGACTAACAAGACAGAATGTAACAGTTTTCTCTTCTATTTCCTGGTCTTGGGGCAGAGACAGTAGGGATCCTCCTCCTACCGCAGACCAGACTGGAGTTGACTTGTGGTGTGAGTAGGGTCTGATGCACCCTAGCCATTGTATACCATGGAGCACAAAAATCTGACTACCGGTACTAACTTTCTTAGTAGGCAATGCAAGTGTGCATTTGTGAATTGAAAAAATGAAAGAGAACTTATCTTTTAATGGATTTCTGATTTTATTTTTATAAATAGTAGCATAACATTCAATTATTTGTACAAAATTGTATTCTTTAATGAAGTTTAAAGAGAAATTTAATGAAAAAATTCCTAAAATACGTTTTTGACTGTAAATAAGCGCCCTCTTAGAAGAAATGTTTTTTTCAAAAAATTTTTAAAGATATTTCCTTTCACTTCAGCACTGGTCCTGCCATCATTGATTGGTATCTAAACTTTTTTCTAGTATGTTTTCTTTATAAAACTGCGTCCGGGCATGTTAAACCTCAGTTTTCGCCAATCCTAGTCGAAAGTGTCAATTTCAGTACCAGTTATTCCAATTGCTGTATCTCCCATTTGACAAATCATAGGATGATAAGGAAAGCACGTGATGAAACGTTGTTCTCTGGATTCTACAATATGAATGTGGGTGGTGCTTATTATAGTAACTGCCATTTTATGTAGAGGTTGTATTTAGTACTGGCCAATAGGGCTTTTCTATAAGCGTTAGAAAAGTTGCTTCTGGAAAAAACTGCGTGGGATGTACGTGACTTTTATTATTTTTATATAGTAGCTTAAGTCATGCTGCATCGTATATCTATTTATATTAATCATTATATTGAAAAATTAACTCAAAATAGATATATTTTTTAGGAAAGAAGTTGATCCACAATTGTTAGGGTTAACAGCTATCAAGTGGCGAGTGCAAGGTCTTTACATGAAGTAGGCTTAGGACTTTGAACTGTAAGAGTTTTGTACTTTTGTATTTAAATTTGCAGTTTTAAGTTCAATAATTTTGTTCATAATAAAAATATGATTTAGTATTTATAAAGATAACTTTGTGTCATTTGTACGTACTAGTAGTACCACTTTGATAGCTTTAGGTTTATCGTAAGAATTTTGTAATTTCTTTCTTACTATCATTACATAGTAAGATCCACACTTCTATTATTGTTTTATAATTAAAACATTCTAACTGACATATAAATATTTTATTCTGATATTTTGCAAAGGGGTTAAATAAAGTTAAATTACATAAATTTTATACATAAGTTACAAGTCAAGATAACATATATACAAAAGGAGCATCAATGTATGGATAAACAATGCCTAATTTATAAGTTATGCACTGAGAAGTACACGTACAGTTGTATGCAAATCATATTTAGATGCAAAAATAAAAATGTAGTGAAAGCTACACTGAGATATTTCATTAACGTCTGTTTATATATCAAAAACATACAAACTGTAAATTTATTCATTATTGATATGTACACTTTATACATGTTTATACAAATGCAAAAATAAGCTCAACACTGTTACCAAACAATTGTCTGAAGATGAATAATCCAAGTTGTATATTATTCAGTGAAATTTTGAAAATTGTATACATAATTCTTGAGCAGAAACTAGAACACAAAATATGATAAAAGTAATAAAACTGAACACAGTAATGTATAATAAATACAGTTCAATATAGACTTTATATTTTTTTATTTCAACAAAGACTTTTGTAGGAGCACACAATTTTTATTGTTTATGACTAAAATGTGCAATGAGTTTTAGAACCCGTACAAGAGTAAAAATTTCATTTACCAAGATAACCCACGTACAGCAAATCGTGAGTCTTCGCTGAAATCATTGAAATCTTAACACCATCACTCAGCATTTGCATTTAGGTATTTCCACTTGTTTGAAATGCAGTTATATTTTGTTAAGATTTCAATGATTTTAGCGAAGGCTCACGATTTGCTGTACGTGGATTCTCTTGGTAAATGAAATTTTTATTCTTGTACGGTTCTTTTATACATGTGTTAAAACTCAGTGTACAAGTGACAACAATAAAGCCCATATGTTAGTCATGAGACAGACTAAACACATTCGTGTCAATAATACCAGGAAATCTATGACATTCTCATGGGGTGCAAATACATGAAGGACTTAAGTTTCAAATTCCAACATAAATCTTGCCTATAATGAGAGAAATGTGACCAGACTAATATTTTAAGTGCTATGAATTGACTTTCTTTGTAAATACTTTA